CCTGCTCAAGGACATTCCAGTCTTTTATGTGCAAGTTGAATCCATGAGAACTAGAAAAACATTAGAGACTATAGAAAAGTCTTCATATAAAAACATCCTTTTGGTCCCAGTAAATAAATTATCAGAGTCTTATGTTTAAGGCATTTTCTATAGTGTGACTGAGTCCAAAGCAGCACAGAAACTGTAAAGCAATAAGTAGGATATGGTACTCAGCTGCTATAGCTCAAGCTCCTTTACAGTGATTTCCTATAGGATAGTAGTCCTCAAAGTTTTTGGTCTCAGGGCCCTTTTATACTCTACAGAATAAATGAAGACATTAAATAACTTCTGTTTATGTGGGCTTTTGTATCTACTAATATTGGCTTGATAAGCAATTAAAAGTGGAAAATGTTAAATATGTATTTCTTAATTCATTAAAAATAACGGGAATAAACCCATTTCATGTTAATATAAATAGCATCTTTTATAAAAATATAACTTTACCTTCAAGAAAAAGATTTGAGAAGAATTACATTGTTTTACATTTAAAACTGGTAGAAGATAGCTGGATTTTAATATATACTTTCACATTTATTCTGTTGTGATATTTTGGAAGTATATATTTACATATTAATATTAAAGTATACAAAGAAAATCCAGCATCACACAGATATGTAGTTAGAAGAAGGAGGAATATTTTAATAGCCTTTTCACATAATTGCAAATATTCTTTGATACTACAGCAAAACTTGACAAGTTTGTAGTTTCTTAATGGTGGGTTGCAATGTGGAATCTGAAACCATTTCACTGTGCTTTATGTACTCTATTACATTAAAAGCCATTGATCTTGGGTTTTTAAAATCTACGTATGATTTTTTTTTTTTTTTTTTGAGACAGAATCTCATTTTGCTATCCAGGCTGGAGTGCAGAGGTGTGATCATTGCTCACTGCAGCCTCAAACTCCTAGGTGATCCTCCTGCCTCAGCCTCCCAAATAGCTAGGACTACAGGCATTTGCTATCATGCCCAGCTAATTTTTTAAATTTTCTGCAGAGACAGGATCTCACTATGTTGTCCAGGCTGGTCTCAAACTCCTGGCTTTAAGCAATCCTCCTGCCTCAGCCTCTGAAAGTGCTAGGATTACTTGTGTGAGCTACCACGCCCAGCCTATGTATGATTTTTAAAAAACGTAATGCATTGGTCACTTGGAAAATACTCGCTTAGTGACTTATGTAGATCTTCTAAGTGCTAACACATTTATTTATACAATATCAATAAATTATATTCATTAATATTACCACTGATATCATCAGAAAAGTCTTTGAGTACAGAAAAACTCTCAAGATTGTGGTGGTGAATACAACTACAAAATTTTTGTTTGATAGCTAAAATTATTATCATTGGCCACAGTCAAAGCAGTCTATTAACTAAGGATTATTACACTATTCTTTAACTGAATGCCTGTAGTAGACATTTAGCTGTCTTCTAAAATGTGTGCTCTCCTTTCCATAGTATAGAGTTATCACTAGGTAGCAGCAGTCAGAGTTTTTATTTGCCATACTTCCTTAGATCTAGACAGATATACCAGTGACTTATTCTCACTATGGTATGTGACTGGAAGTGATGTGGGTCACTACTGAACCAAGACTTTTAAGAGTGTATGCCCACTCCTTTTTTATTCTCCTGATGAGACAAATTCAAATGACTATTCAGTTCTATAGGATGGCGAACCCTAAAGATGGAAGTAACCTGGAGCTCGGAATCACTGTGTGGAGGAGAGGCACACACTGAACACTAATTAATATAAAAACTCAGGAGATAGCATTAAAAGTAGATTAGAGTTCTGGAGTAATGTGAGAGGCTTAAAGTTCAACTAAAAAACACATACATTTGAAGATTTCCTTGTAGTCACAATGTAAGCAGAAGTTTTCAGGAAAAAATATACCTCTTTAAGTAATCATTATCTTTTTGAAATGATAGAACTCCCCATTTAGTTCTCCTATCAAAAACAGTGGTGTGTAGCAGATATATCCTACACAATGGAGGTTCTGTTTCTCTTAGAGATTTAGAAATTTTGGCCCTTTGCTATCATTGTGCCACTATACTACTTTAACCCCAGAGCATGGATTTTCCAACTATCTAAATGATTGCTTTCTATTTCTAGAGTCCCTGCTTTTTTATTTTTAGAGGAGTCCATAAACAAAACTGAGAAACAGGAGAATTTTCCTCCCTAGTCTCCTACTATCTTTCTGGCTCTTCTACTCACATCCTTCCTTGTTCCTTCTCACCTATTAAAATTGAATCAAAGAAATAATCTAAAAACTCATTCGCATTTGCCATAAATGAAGAATTAAGGTTGTAGTAACTCTCATAAGTTACAACTCTTATCCTATGATGATAACTTTAAGCTTTAATATACTTACAAACCTGTAAAATTAAATGACTGAGAGGCAGTATGTGAAGTTGTTAAGAGTTCATATTTTAAGGCCAAAATTTCAGGGATTTCAATTCCTATTCCAGCACTTATCAGTTATGTGACTTTAGGTGAGTTACTTGATCTACTTATGTTTCAGTTTTCTCATTTATAAAATGAGGACGATAATAAAAGCTACCTGCCACACAAGAAGATTACTAATAAGGCTCTATTAAGTTAACAAACTTTATCAGGTACATACTTCAAATCAAAGATTTTTCCAGGTTGAACATAAATTATTAAATTTTAATTTTAAGCAATATATAAGAAACACCATTATAACCTGGTCCCCACTCCCACAGACTTAGGTGATCTCATTTAGAAACAAAAAAAATCTTGTTATGTTTTAGAATCAAATATAAAAATTATTTTCAAATATTATGGGTAATTAAAATGTATGACACATTTATCAAGCTTTCCCATTAATATAAAAACCAAGTATGTTTGAAGCACATAGAATTCTTATTATTTTTGAAATGAAAATAACTATTTTATAGGGACTACAATATAAAACCTCTTTACAGGTATTAGAGTTCATTACATAGAGTAATTCTTCATTTTAGAGTGTATAATATGGATACTTAAATAATAATAACTTCTAAAAAACAAGGATTATCATGAAACAACATATAAATAATGAATATTTGGAATAAATATAACTGAGATAAAAGCTCATAAGTAATATTCTCTAGAAGAAGAAAAGAACTTTTTCAACTACTCTATAACCTATGGAGTAACTTTACTATATTCTCTTGGTGGTCAAAAACACTGGTCAAAACCTGTTAATTATTTTTAGTTTTCAAACACTGACTATTAAATATTAAAATATAAAACAGGAGACTGAATTAAATCTATATATATCAAGATGGGTAAATCTAGAGAATGTTGCATAAAGAAAATTTTTAAAGATTCATATATATTATTTATGTAAAAAACAAAAAACAATATTATATAAATAAAGGATGTCCATCAATTTAAGCATAATCATAACCTCTTGGTAAGGGAGAGACATGTTTAGGAGTGGTAAAACAGATCTGTAAATAATAGAATGGAAAAACAAATATGGCAAAATGTAAATATTTGTTACATGTCAGAAATATCCTTCACTATACTTTCCTGCATGTTTGAATAAAATATAATAAAAACAAATCTAAATAAAAATAAAAAAGCAAGACTCAACTATATGTTGTTTATAAGAAGTACACATTAAATACAAAAACACAAACCCATAGTAAGTAAAATTATAGGAAAAGATACACCATATAACCATAACCATAAGAAATCTGAAGTGGCTATAATAAGCTTAGACAAAATAGAACTCAAAGGAAGGAGTGTTATCATAGATATAAGGGAACATTTTATAATGATTAAAGAAAAAACTTAATAATAATAAAATACATGTGCCCAACAACAAAATACATAAAGCAAAAATCAACAAAATAAAAGGGAGAAATAGATAATTTCACAATTGTAGATATTTTAATATTCCCTCTCAGTAATTAATGGAACAACTAAACAAAATATCAGGAAAGATATAGCATCAGGCTGAGCAAACTTTTTCTATTATAAAAGGGCTAGATAGTGAGTATTTCAGACTTTTCAGGCCACATGTAGCCTCTGTGGGATGATAGTCTTTGTTTTATTTTATGTATTTTTTCATAAGCCTTAAAAAAATATAAAAATCATTCTCAGTTCATGGATATGTAAAAATATGCTACAGGCCAGATTTAATCCACAAGCTGTAGTTTGCTGACTCCTGACAAAGAAGATAGGAATAACACTACCAATCATTATTATATAAATTGAGACTTATACAATAACTGCAGATATACATTCTTCTCAGGGAAGAATGTTTTAATACTGCACAGCATAAACAGGAGAGAAATAAATTGTCCTTATAAAGCTTATTAATATTGAGTAACAGAAGAGTTTGGTTCTGTGCAGGAATTTAGCAGGTAGCTCAAAGGAACAGAAGAGAATACAAAAATGTAAGTGAATTAGTATTTCAAACAGTCTATAAGTGGACTATTTAATAAATGAGTCATTTGGAAAAAACATACAGGAATACAACTACCCTCCTTATAACAAAATAAATCTAAAATGGATTAAAGCATTAAATCAAATATAGAAATAAAAAAATACCAGAAAAAAGACACAGGTAGGTATTTTTATAATCTTAGGTAAGTCTTGACAAAGGTGCCAAAAACCTGAAACCCAAAAGAAAACATAATTTAAATGAACTAAATAAAAAATTTAAATTTTATCTATTGACAAAACACATTATTAACCATTTAGCAATACAAATAAAGGAATATCTGCAGTGTACATAAAGACAAAAAGAGCCTAAAAATCAATATAAAAAGTATCTTAGGCAAATAGAAAAAGGACTTAAACGTAGTGTACTACTACGACACCAATCTATAAACCAAATGTTTTTTAAGACCCTTACCAAAAGATAAATCATTAGAAAATTCTGCTTAATAAAATAACCTAACATACTTGATTTTGACTACCTATTCCATTCTGCAGTTTACAAAAAAATTACTTACTATTTGATAAGCGTTCTTGACTGCTTGCGATCCTTTCCTTTATTGATTTTGAAGGTGCTCTCTTGCTACCATGGATGGTTGTTGTGGAGAGATCTTTCAGTTTCCAGTGTTTCCAAAAGCCTTTTTGAGGTTTTAAACCTGTCAATGTAAATGTACATTAGGCCAAAGAAATTAGGATTTTAAAAATACCTTTTAACTTGGCAAAGCATTTTTATGACTATTATACATTTCATCCTCACAACAAAAAAGTTCTACTTTTCTTCCTTTTAAGGTGTGTAGGGTTCGATAAGTCATTTTACCACTCTAAACATCTGTATCCTCAGCAATAAAAATGAAAATATTAATAATATAAATTCCTGTGCACACTTCATATGTTTTTTCTGAGGATTAATTGAAATATATGTTAAAGTGTGAGTGAATGGAAAAGCATTACACAAATATTAGCTAATATTATTATCACTATATATTAACTATAACTATACATTAACATACTCATAAATATAACCCATATTTTCTCAGTGGTGAGTATTCAACAAGGATTATATATATTTGCTAGACTGAGCTATCAAATTAGAATTTTCTAAGTGTTTTTTAGATATAGTTATCACCTATTTAGCATTCGCTGTTACTCGATGAAATACACAGAAGCCTTCAGTTTGATTCACTTGCATGCTTCTTGATAGATTGCCTATGTTTTGAAATATTGTATATTAATAGAAAATTTGAGGTATAGAAAGGCCAACAGATTAATGGATTGCCATTGAAAAGATACTTTATTACCTACAGTTCCCAAGAGGAGGGGACATGCCATGCCACAGGGGATAACATGAGGAAGCACTGGAATCAGGAGACAGAGAAAGAGGCTCTTGCCAAACTATGGGCAAGAGCCTTTATTTTCCTTGGGAAGGAATGGGCAAAGCAAGTGGTTTATGATTGGCTAATTTGAATAATTTCATCAGGCTCTAGGGCATAGGGGCTGTCCCTAGTTGTCTGGTACCTAGGATGATCAGGGCAAGTGAATAGTGGCCCTGAGTTTGAAAGCCCAATAAAGCAGGTGATTGTATTGTGGGCTCTGGATGGGTTGGTTTGCTTTGAAAAGCATGCTCATGGGCAAGTTGTTTAATATTTCTGGGAACTGACTAACCCCAGGAAGAGCAGTCCTTCCAGGGTCACTAAGGTCTCAGATGTAAAAGTATCAGACACAGAAAATAAGAGACATGGTTAATACAGTCTAGATTTGGACAATATTTCCATTTCTGGGATGAACCCTACTTGGTCCTGATATATAAAGAACAATAACAGCGTAGATTCACAACTGAGGGACGCAGTGGGCATTGTAGAGAGGAAGGGCATATATTTAACCCTTGCTAGGGGGAGGCAAAGATAAAATGTAACCAAAAAAAAAAAAGAACAAAGAACAATAACATACTGGTGCACTCTGCAAACACTTTCAAAGCTTATCGTGTACCAAACTATGTGCTTGACACAAAGGATACAAAATTCAATTCAACCTAGTCCTTGTCTACCATCAAGTCAGATGTAAAATTATTTAGCAGAGTGCCTGGTCCATAGTAAGTTATTTAATATAAGTAGTTTCTCTGTTGCTTCTTTTCCAAATTAACCACTGGTTGGGCTGAGGCATTCCAATATTTACAAGTAAAACATTCATATTGATCACTAAAAATGGACTGTTCCATAGAATGGCATTAATATAGGGCCACAATACCCAAATGAAGTGTGTTCTTTACCTTTAGCTTTGACAAATTTTAAAAATTAAACTTTAGTTGGATCTATTCAAGTATTTCCTAGGAAATTTTTACCATAAAGGGTTTGGAAGCAAATGGCATACAAAATAAAAGAAGTGAACCCCCAAAATGTTTTTGTAATTACTTGGTAATTTACATGTATCTTAAATTTAAATATTTTTCATTAAATTTATACAGGTATATAGTTTAAAGAGTCAAATATTACAAAACTCCAATAGTTTCTCACACATCCCCAACACCATATCCTGCTTCCCCAAAACAACCATCTTTATTTGATATTCATATCCATAGCTTACCAGAAAAGGGCTACATTGCTACTTTTTGATGTTTTGATTTTAGGCATTATCTACTGAATTATAACTAGGAAGACGAGGATTTAGCAATCTTTCACCCCCCTATCCCATCATAACCACATACAAGCTCATTTTCTTTTACCTATTATCAAAGGTGTTTTATAATAATTTTCATTGGATGAATATCAGTATTTACATTATTATTACTATGTAAAATCTTATTACAGTAGATTAATTACAGTAGCTGAGCTATGTAATTGGTAGCTTAAAATATTTATCTTCCAAATATAGTATATATATAGTATGACTTTATTTCTGTGGCAAGTCAGTTTTCTATAATAATCAATTGCTTATAATATTATTTGGCTTCTAAATCTAATAACTAATTAATTGTAGTACCAAAATTTTCAGAAGAAAATAATCATTATTATTTTAAGACATAGGAATTGACATGGCATGTTTTATAACACAAAAATCTACCAATTTATTAGAGTAAACAAAATACTGCAATCCAAACATTTTAGGAACCAAAATAATGATCAATACTTAAATGATATATTCATACCTGATAACCAAAGAAAAATATTATTCCCTAGATCTTCTTTAAATTCATCATTAAAAAGGTTAGTAGATAGTGGAAATGCCTCCAGGAATGTTACATAGATAGCTTGTGTCAAACAATCAGGATATACCTACCAAAATAGAGTCATATTAGAGTAATTTTATATTTATTATAACATTTGTTAACTATCAAAGAAATTATTACTTGGTTTGTGAAATATATATGTCCCTTTTTTTATAACTTGCTTTTGGCCATCTGTTACTTCTTTATACCCCTATTTGGGAGACATGAACAATGAAGATTTGAAAATCAAGTCAATCTGACAGTTATTTTGGGGAAAAAGTTAAATCAGATAAGGAATGAAATTAACAATTAAGGTTTCATAATTATCCACTTATTTCATTTAATCTTGCTATTGCTATTCTCTTTTAGAAAGTAATGCATATGGGTCATAATAATAAAAAGTATATTTTTAAATAATTGAAGCTTGTGTGGGTGAGTTTATATATTGTAGTCAGTATGGGTGGGGGATAGAGGGGATGGGTATATTCACACCTAATGGTTGTGGTGCTCACTGTCTGGGGGATGGGCACACTGATAGCTCTGACTCAAGCGGGGCAAAGGCAATATATGTAGCCTAAACATTTGTATCCCCATAATATTCTGAAATAAAAAATAAAACAGAAAAAAGAAAAAAATATTAAAACCATAATCAGATACCAATAAATACATGCCACTACAGTATCCTGTTAGCTTTCAAATCCTTAAACTACTAAATTCCTCTCAGGGAGTGTCTAAACATTGAAAGATACCATATTTTTTATATTAAAGAAAATTATATAACTGTTTTGGTATTCTGCACTCAGATAACTATTTACAATCAAGCATTAGGCCTTTAATTGTGTGAAATTTTAGAATTAGAAGGTCCCTTAGAAGTCACTGTGGTAGACTGAATAATGGTCCAAAAGATATACATGTTCTAATTCCTGGAACCTATAAATTTTACCTTATATGGCAAAAGGGCTTTGTAGATGAGATTAAGTTAAAGATCTTGAGATCAGGGGATTATTTTGGATTATGTCATATGTTCTGACTGTAATCATAAATATCTTATAAGACGGAGGCTGAGGGAAATTTAACTATAGAAGGGAAGAATGCAGTATGACAGCAAAAGCAGGGATTAGAGTAATACAACCACAAGCCAAGGTACTGCAGCCACTAGAAGATAAAAGATGCAAGGTATATATTTCTCACCTGGTACCTCCTAAACACACTAGTCCTGCTGACACCTTGATTTTTGCCCTGTAAGACTCATTTTGGACCTCCATAGCTAAGAGAATGAATTTCTATTGTCTTAAGCCACTAAATTTGTGATAATTTGTTACAGCAGCAGTAGAAAACTAGCACAGACACCTAATCCAGTAGTGCTCAAATTTTCTGGTAAGTGATGGTATTCTTTTAAAATCTCTGTGATTTTTTGATAAGGGAGGGGAGTAGGGAAGAACTGTATAATATATTGATATATTTAATTCTATTGAATGAACCATGAACATTTTTACTACCAGAAATAATCATATATTGTATTTGTGGTATATGAAATTATACCAATGATTAAAATTAAAATGTTGAACAAGGTGAATAAAGGGGATTTCTGAACAGTTTCTGTGAATATCCCACCTTCAGGAGATTAAAGGAAAAGGAGACAAGGTGTCAAACTGTTTGGAAAATTTCTGAGGAATATCATTCTGTGACATTGGAAGAAAGGGAAGTTAAAGCCATACTAAATATGTTTAGGTTCAGATTAATTTGTAAAAAATAGCGGGACATGAAGAAAATTTTTTTCTTTCTTAAATATTAATAAATTTTTCTTCCTTAGGTAAGATAAGTCATATGAGTAGGCAATAACAAAATGCTCACTTATTTGAATGAGTTAAAAGTAATGGAAGTTGTTCGACGAGAAAGCAGGCCTACTTCTGCTTAAACAGCTCTGGAGGGCATAGACCTGTAGGGAGGTGGCCTGGCTCTCTAACACAGATGCAAGGAAAGGGAGCATTAAATGAAGACTGAGTACAAGTCAAGGAGTCTAATCACTAGTGTATACATTTTGTTTGTCCTCAAATGAGGCTTTGAATCTTCATTAAACAACTTCTAATTTCTCCTTGGAAAAAGCCGCTGGAAATAGGAACCCAGAAAAAGTTGAGTCATGATTTGAGAGAAGTTGTAAATATAATATCTATTGAAAAATACATCCATCCCAGGGGAGAACTGGACCATACAAGTAGGACCAGAAACTGGAGAATGAGGGATATATAATGGTACCACCATTTCCTTCTTTGTCCACATTAAAAAGCCTCATCCTTTTCTTAAGAGCCCTAGTGTTAATTAAAGCATGCTTGATTTCATCAAACCATGTAGGTAGGCTAGGTACACTTAGTAAATACATATTAATATAAAAACCACAAAAGCATAGACTAGCTAAAAGAATATGGGTAGCAGAAACAGCTGTTTTTTATAATCTCTAGACAATTTAATTACAAAATTCCTAATCATTAACTTTCTCTTGCAAATAAGAAAAAACAATTTCAACATGAGCAAAGAAAACATTAGTCTATCTTTTAGAACAACACTGTTTCATAAGATAACAATTAGGGCTCCAACCAGCCTTTTCATTTGATAGACAACCCAGCTATAGACCTGAGAGGTTGAGTGACTTGCTTAGATCACGCAGGTAATTAGTAGTAGATTCCAGGCAGAAAGCCAAGTCTTCTTATTCTCAGTCTATTACTAGTTTTCCCTTACCCCATTTTACATATGCATTTGAGAGTAAGATAGGTCAAGATTTAAACATAAGTATTTGGCAAATTTGTGAACTTAGATTTGTTTATATTTTCATTGTTTATATTTCATTTCACAAAATCCAAAATACTTAGGTATTTCTGATCTACAGATTGTCAGTGCAACAAAGTATTGGAACATAGCTTGTGTTTTGAAATGCTAGATGTTAAACTTAAAAAATGCCCAGTGAGATTCCTACAATCTTCACTTCATATTACTCAAGAATATTAATTATTTTAATCAATCCTATTCATTAGTCTGTATAACAACAGAAAAGCAAAATAAGCATTCAATTCATAATTTTATGCATTGTACTTTACTGGAACAGGTGGTTAGTACTCAGGGATAACATAGACTTGTCAAGTCCTTTTAAATGGATCAAGATTTGTATCATTATAAAGTAAAAGAAAAATGATAAATAATTTTGTAGGTAAATAGAAAAAAGATAACAACATACACAGAATAATTCAAGAATTTTCAAATTATTAATAATCAAACAAAATACCTATATCACTAAGAAGATTCTGTAAGACTTTGAAGCAAGGGAATACAATATTTGGAAGAGTGTGGAAAGAGCATCACTTTTAAAATATTACTATTATTTACTCTATAGTAGACAATTTTGCTGTCAAAAATGACAAAATATATCCTCATATATGTTTAAATAAAATAACTGTTTTTTTCCTATTTCATCTACTCTAAATATAATTAGCATAACTATTAATCTCTGTTTACCTGAAAGAATGCATCCTTTCGACTTACAGGTATGCTCGTGAAAAGCGTCACATAACTTGTTGAAATTCTATCAAATAAGCAATCTTGATTTTCTCTGTCAGGCTTAAAAATTAAAATATGTATGAAATTAAAATCAATATTACAATTTAAAATTGGAATTTGTTTGCATGTCAGTCATTTTACCTATTTGTATAAGCAGTTCAATTGGTATAGTGAAATGATCATGGGAGTTTTGGCATAATGCAGATCTGGATTTTAATACTGGCTCTATTATTCATCAGCTATATTAATCTTAGCAAGTTGATTAAGTCCCAGTTTTCTCATCTGCCAAATATAGGTAATATATTTAAACCTTGAAGAAGGATAGTAAAATTAAATAAGGACAGAGATAATATTTTGTATAACTTTGTATTTCAAGCCCTCAGCACCAGGGCTGGGACACAGAAAGCATGCAAACATCTGATGAATTAATGAAGATTCTTGCATAGTAGTTGCTAAGCAAAAGGCAATCAATGTCTTAGTTACCTTCTACTCTTTCATTATCAGTAACTCATTGTGAAATTAAAGCAATTTCTGAGACAGCCATAGCCAGAACTAGTAAAATTATGACATGACAGTTAACCTAGAAACAAAGTAAATATGTTGTAAGAAGAAAGATATCTATATATAATAATAATGTCAATATTAAAGCCCTAATGTAATAAGCTGAATTCTTGCTCTATTAAACAATGAAGAGATGAATTAGAATCCAAATTCATGAATTAAGCCATAAAGATAAACTGGAGTTCAAATTCATTTATTATGTTAGCTATAGAAGCACAAGTTGGCATTAATAATTTTTGATAATAAAAAACAAAAAATACCAAATTTAGTGGTAGTTTTCTATAAAATTAACGAAAAACTAAATGATTAGGAATTTATAGATACATAGAATCTTAGATCTCAAATGAAGTTAGTTATTACCTAGCTTAAGTCCCTCTACTTCAGTGACTACACTGATGCTCAGAAAACTTAAAGAGAATTATTTAAGGTTATTCACATAAGTAATCAAGAGACAGACTAGAATCCAGGTCTCTAACTCCCAATATAATGCTTATATCTGTTTAGTAAGTTTATGGAAGAAGATTGTAGTAAAAATAATGTTAATAGAAATTCTTGATTCACTTATGTAACATGTTATTATTCTAAGATATAGGGATATGGAACAATTAAATGAGATCCTATATATTTAATTTATTCAAGAAAGTTGGCATCTTTCAACTACACAATCTACACTTAACATATATAAAGAGAAGAAATTTACACAAGACAGAAAGTTCTACAATTTATAAGTCTGATTTTTTTAGATTCCACATAAAAGTGAGATCATATGATATTTTTTTATGTGCCTGGTTTATTTTATTTAATATAATGTCCTCCAGGTCCATAGTCATCCATGTTGTCACAAGTGACAGGATTTCCTTCTTTCTTAGAGCCAAATAATATTCCATTGTGTATTTATACTGCATTTCCATTCATCCATTGATGGACATTTACGTTGATTCTCTTTCTTAGCTATTGTGAATATCACTGCAATGAACATGGGATTTGAGATATCTATTTGACATACTGATTTCAATTCCATTAAATATATGCCCAGAAATGGGGTTACTGGATTATATGGTAATTCTATTTTTAGTTTTTTGAAGAATGTATGTAATATTTTCCAAAATTACTGTACTAATTGACTTTGTCCATTTTTTAATTGAATTGTTTTCTTACTATTGAATTGCTTCTGTTCCTTATATATTTTAGATATTAACCCTTTATCAGATGTATGGTTTCAAAGTATTTTCTCCCATTCTATAAATTGTCTCTTCACTCTGTTGATTGTTTACTTTGCTATGCAGAACATTTTTAGTTTGATGCAATTCTATTTATTTATTTTTGCTTTTGTTGCCTATGCTTTTGGCTTCATATCCAAAAAATCATTTCCTAGAACACCAATGTCATGGAGCTTTCCCCCTATGTTTTCTTCTAGTAGTTGTACAGTTTCAGGTCTTACATTTAATTATTTAATTATTTTTGAGTAGATTTTTGTATATGATATAAAATAGGGTCCAATTTAGTTCTTCTGCATATGGATATCCAGTTGGTAAAACACCATTTGTTGAAGAGATTGTCTTTTCTTCATTATGTGTTCTTGGCAACTTGTTGAAAAATCAATTGACCATAATGTATGGATTTATTTCTGGCTCATTATTCTGTTCCATTGGCCTATGTGTCTATTTTTATGACAGAGTCATGCTATTTTGGTTACTATAACTTTATAGTGTGTATATATATATGTGTATATTTTTTATTTATTTATTTATTTTTGAGACAGAGTCTGGGTCTGTTACCCAGGCTAGAGTGCTGTGGCATCAGCCTAGCTTACAGCAACCTCAAATTCCTGGACTCAGGCGATCCTACTCCCTCCGCCTCCTGAGTAGCTAGGACTACAGGCATGCACCACCATGCCTGGCTAATTTTTTCTCTCTATATATATTTTAGTTGTCCAGATAATTTCTTTCTATTTTTAGTAGAGGCAGGGTCTCGCTCTGGCTCAGGCTGGTCTCAAACTCCTGACCTTAAGCGATCCACCCACCTCGGCCTCCCAGAGTGCTAAGATTATAAGCGCGAGCCATCGCGCCTGGCCTGTAGTATATTTTGAAGTCAAGTATTGTGATAACTCCAGCTTTGTTCTTTTTGCTCAAGATTGCTATGACTTTTCAAGACTTTCTGTAGTTTCATATAAATTTTAGGACTTTTTTTTTTTTCTATTTCTGTTAAAACATCACTGGAATTTTGTTAGGGATTGCATTGAATCTTAGGTTGCTTTGGATAGTATGGACACTTTAATAATATTAATTCTTCCAATTTATAAACACATAATATCTTTCTATTTATTTGTATCATGTTGAATTTCTTTCATAAGTGCTTTATGTTTTAATTATACATATGTCTTATCTCCTTGGTTAAATTTATTATACCTATTTTATTTTTATTGTTGTTGCTATTGTAAATGGGGTTGTTTTCTTGATTTTTTTTGACAGTTCATTGTTAATATATTGAAATGCCACTGATTTGTATATGTTGATTTTGTATTCTGCAACTTTACTAAATTCCTTTAATATTATTAACAATTTTTGGTAGACTCTTTAGGACTTTCTATATATAAGATCATATTGTTGGCTAACAGAGACAATTTCATTTCCTCCTTTCCTATTAGGATCCCTTTCTTTCCTTCTCTTGTATAATTGCTCTGGCTTTCTTCTTTTTTAATGTTAGAATTTACACCTATAAATTTCATTCTTAGCACTTCTTGTGCTACATCTCATAAGTTTTGGTATGTTGTGTTTTTGTTTTCATTTGTCCCAAGGTATTTTCTGATTTCCCTTTTGATTCCTTCCTTGACCAATTGGTTGCTTGGGAACAATGAGAAGTCTTATACATTAACAATGGAAATATAAAATTGTGCACACACTTTGGAAAACAATTTGATATTATCTTGTAAAGCTGATTAATTTCAAACCCAACAACTCAGCAATTCTGTTTCTTCTTTATGTACCTTAATTTCTGTTTGAGAGTTGGGTATCTTTGACAGGCCAGTAGAAATTGAGATAAATATTAATAATATTTATGTTTGGGAATAGGCATGTCTCTTCTTTTGCTAAGACTTTATGGGCTTGAGTCAATTAAATCAAGTGCTGAGCTATATTTGGATTTTGTTTCTGCTGTGATTACTTTCAGTGAAATACTAGCTTTAAATTCCTCTGGAATTACATTTTATTTAGAAATCTCAAAGAACAAGTTTTTGGCTTCATTGAGTTTCTCTAATTTCTTCTTTGTTTTCTGTTTTTATTTTTACTGAGTTCTACTCTGATCGTTATTATTTTTTTCTTCTGCTTTCCTTAGGTTTCATTTTTTCTTCTTTTTCTAACTTCTTAAGGAAGAAGCCAAGATCACAAAATTTTAGAATTTTTTGTTTTATTCTAATATAGGCATTTTAATTCTATAAGTTTTTCTCTATGTACTACCTTAGTTATAGCCCATAAATTTTAATCTGTGTTTTCACTTTAAATCAGTGCAAAATAATTTCTGAATTCTCTATTGATTCCTGATTTGAACCACGGTAACTTAGAAGGATGCTATTTTGTTTCCAAATATTTGGGGATTTTTCAGATATCTCTCTATTATTAACTTATAATAAAATTCCAGTTTAATCTTAAAAAGTACTTTGTATGACTTGAATTCTTATAAATTTATTAGGATGTTTTCCTAGGTCAGAATATAGTTTATCTTAATAAATGTTTAACGGGCACTTGAGAAAAATGCTGTTTATTAGGTAGTGCTATGGTTTGAACGTGTTCCCCAAAGTTCACATATTGGAAACTTGATCTCAGTGTAGCAGTGTTGGGAGGTAGGGCCTCATGGGAAGTGTTTGGGTCTTGGGGGCACTGGCCCCTCATGAATGGATTAATGCCATTAACATGGGAGTTGCTTTGATATCATGGAAGTGGGTTTTCCCCCCTCTTGCTCATTTTTCTTTCTCTCTCTTACTCTCTCTCTCTCTTGCCTTCTGCTTTTCACCATGGGATGTTGCAGAAAGAAGGTCCTGGCCAGATGCTGGCCACTCTGCATCAGACTTCCCAGCCTCCAGAACCATGGGGTAATACATTTTTGTTCATTATAAATTACTCTTCCATGGCATTCTGTTATAACAGCACAAAACAAACTAAGGAGAGATGTTTTATATATGTCAATTAGGTCGAGTTGTTTGACAGTGTTGCTCAAGTCTTCTATATCATTACTATGTTAATGTATGTTAACATATTACTAATTATCTGTATATTCTACTAATTACTGATAGTGAGGTGTTAAAATTTCTGTACCTACAGATTTGCTGATTTCTCTTTGAAGTGTTAAGAGTTTTTATTAAATGAATTTTGAATATTTTTGTTAGGTGCATAAATATTTAGCATTATTATATAATCTTGATAAAGTAATTATTTTATTATTATACAATTACTTTCTTTATTCCTGGTAACATTCTTTGCTTGGAAATATACTCTGTATGTTGGATTCAAAAAAATTGTGACTTTGTTGGTTATATGGCTTTCTTTTGTTGCTATATGGGTGAAAATGATGCATTTTTCAGCTTTTGAATCTTTTTGGAAGCCAAGGTCCCAAGGGCAGTTTTTAAGAGCATTAGGATGTTAAAAATCATTACTGAAATTCTTTTAGTCAAACAATGATTTTGCTTATTTCATTCTCTTTTTGCTTCCCAGATATTCCCTCTTTATCTCTTTAATATAAATCATAATCTCTACTTTTTTGAATCAAATAAAGACCCTGTTTTTGTCTGATCTGTAGACTGTTTTCCAAGTAGAACCCCCTTCGATGCTACTGATTTGCAGTGGGTTTTCTACACATTAGTGTTTACTGGCACATTGTAGAATTGAGTAAAACTACAACTTGATTATAATATTTATTACAATGTTTGATTTCACTAATCTTTTTTCTGATTAATGAAGATTTAGGATCTTTGAAATCCATATTAAAGTCTTAACTCCTCTGAAACAATTCCAGACTTCAAAAAGGATTTCTAACGTGTGGAATGCTCAAAAACTAATCTCTGTGAAAGGATCCAAAAAAAATTTTTATACCAGTGTTACCTCTACTGAAAAATTAATTATGCTACAAATCAACTTTAAAAATAAGAACTTTAAAAAATATCATACCTTAAATTTATGGAGAAACCACCACCAAAAGGAGTCATGCAAAAGAGCAATGGAGGCTTCTGAGAGAAAATGAGTCTTCCAGATTTGAAAAACTCGTTCCTATGGAAAAAAGACATATTAGAACAAATTAAAATATATTACAAACCGTGTTAATGTAAATAGGCTTTATGAAGAGTATGCATTCAATGGTTATAGATGAATACTGTCCAACAGAAATTTAACAAGAGCCACTATTTATTAATAATATTAAATTTTCTAGTCCACATTAAGAAAGTAAAAAGCAAAAGTAAAATTAATTTTAATGAAATATTTCCTTTAACCAAATATATTTATATAAAATATCATCTCAATATATAATTTTATAAATGAAATATTTTACTTTTTGGCACTAGGTCTTTGAAATATTGTATATATTTTATACTTATAGCGTATCCCAATTTGAACACTAAATTTTCATCAGAAATATTAGCTCAATATTTAGACTTCATAAAAACCATAGTTGTAATTTTTTCCAATCATAATTAAAAATTTTTCAATAAATGAATATATTAGTTATTAGATTTGTATAGAAATTAATTAAATAAAATAAAAAATTCTGCTCATCTGGCATACTAGCCACGTCTTATATGAACAATAACCATATTTGGCTACCGAAAGGACATATTTATCTACCAAAAGGACAGTGTAGGATAGACCAAGAATAGCAAAAATGTAAGGTACATGCCATAATTTCTTCTCTTTTCCACTGAAGACAAATATCAACAATTAAAAAATCACAGAATTCTATTTCAATAAGCCTCCATCATGAGCCTGTCTAAACATAGTATACTCCCTAACCAGAAAATTGATCAAAATCATTATAGAAGGTTAAATCTATTTACTGTGACTACTAGAAACTATAAATTTTGGTTTAAATATGCAGATTCAACAGATGATTTTATCTTCTTATTCACAGTATTTTTAAATGCCAGTTTCAGTAGAATTCAAGATTTTTAAAAATGAAATTCATAGGTATGAATTCTTGTTCCTCAAGTACGAGTCTTTTTTTTTTTTCTTTTCCATTGCATTTCTCCACATGTTCTGAAAGTACAAGTCTACAAAAAGGACATCATACAAACTTTTATAGCAAGAATATTCTTTATCATGTGTTCTGTGGGACTACTTCTTTCTCATGAGCTACTTCATATGGAGTACACTGGTAACAGCTTCAACTTAGATTTTAGTACTTTTTAATCACAAAGAACATATGTAAAGTGTATAAACATAAAAAGTAGAAAATTGAATTACAGAAGGTAAAACAATCAGTTTTACCAGGTAACCACCCCACCCTCATCCTATCCTATCCTAACGGCAATCACTGGCCATTGAGGTAGTTACCTTCCTACATTTGCAGGTTTTCATCATTTGGTTACCTTGTAGGGTTGCTGTGGTCCCTAACCTCTGGACCATGGACCAAACCCGTACATGGCCTGTTGGGAACCAGACTGCACAGCAGGAGTGGAGTGGCCATCAAGAGAGCAAGCAAGCAAAGCTTCATCTGTATTTACAGCTGCTCCCCACCACTGGCACCACCACATAAGCTCCATCTCCTATCAGATCAGTGGCTCGCATTAGATTCTTACAGGAGTGCGAATCCAACTGTAAACTGCACACGTGAAGAATCTAGGTTGTGCGCTTCTTATGGGAATCTAACGCCTGATGATCTGAGATGGAGCTGAGGCAATGATGCTAGCACTGGGAAGTGGCTGTGGATACAGATTATCATTAGCAGAGAGATTTGACTGCACAATATATGTGATGTGCTTGAATCATCCTGAAACCATCCACCCCTTTCCGTGGAAAAATTGTCTTCCATGTCCTTGGTGCCAAAAAGGTTGGGGACTGCTGCTAGAGGGAATACAGCCCCAAGTTCCCCAGGACACTTGAAGCATTAAAAGGAATTCCCAACAGGGTTATGGAGAATGGGTCTCAGAAGTTATCTCAGGGTCAAAATAAGCAGGTTGAAATATCCTGAGCTGACAGAGCAGGAGCAGAGAGGGAAAAACACCTGCTTGCAGTCACAAGCCAAGCCAGTGCACACTAGCAATTTCAGACTCCAGAGGTAGTAACACGGTGTCTAATAATTCTCTTCTGGTATTAATAATTAGAGTGTTAGACATCACTGGTCTTTCCTCTCAAATTTAATGTCCAAAGGATCAAATCTTGCTTAATACCTAATTTTTCATAGCTTATTTAAAGGTCTGATTCATTACATCATACATACTTTCAAAGTTTATTATACAATAAAAATAAAATATTTACATACCTCAAAGTTATGAGCTTTTAAAATAAAAAGATAAATTCGTTCAGCATCCAAATGTCTGGGTAGTTGAGTAAGCTCGGTTTGTTTGAATCCTATGAAGTTGCAGCCCTAGACAGAGGAGAATAGAATAGAATGGTAATTATTTTACTCCTCTCAGAATAGTAGTCTAATATGACTACAAAAGAAAGATATTTAACTATCACTCACTAACATATTTATTTTACTTCTTTTTACTAAATTAAGTAAAGAATATATGTCCTACTATGAAAAATTTTCATTAGAAGAACCCTGACACATATAGATGTGAAATCCAACACAAAATCATATGAATTTTTACATAAACTCAAATGATCAAGAATTTTAGCTAGACTACACATAAAGAAATATGGACTAGTAGGAAGAGAAAGCTTCCATACCTGTTCCCAACTCTCTTCTCTGGTGCCCTTCTCTATATTTACAGATATATTTAGAGCATCATAAACATTCTTTTAGCCCCACATAATACCTTTGATATATAATCTGGCAGAAAAGAAAATTTAAATACCTCTATATTCTTCTCTGTCTTCATTTCATCTGAAAGCTGGAAAACATTTAAAATAAAATCTTTAAAACACTAAATTGAAGGATGTTTATATTTTGTAAATTTGTTCAGTTAACTAATATGTATATGCAGATATAGATATATGTGTATATCTCCTTCTGAGGCCTAAAATGCCATTGCTGTATTTGATACTGTAAATACAAAGATGGTCCTTGCCATCACGCTAGTCATGGTTCAAGGAAGAATCAGATACATATATAAACAAAACACAAAGAGATAAGAGCTATAATAAAAACATAAACAAACTACTTATTGCAGTTTGAGTTCTCTGAGAAATAGACTCTCGAGAGGAGTTTAGTGTTTAGAATGGTTACTGGGAGTTCTTTTAGGATCAATACTTTTGGAAGGCAAAGGGAGAGACAGGATTGGGCAGAAGGAAAAGTCAGCTATGACGGAGGTCCAGAAAATGAGTTCCAATATGATTAGAAAGAAGCCTACGTGCTTGAGAACTACCAATACAATAGGTCAATAAAGATAGGGTCAGAAATGGATCTATATTAAACTAAAAAGCAATCTGGACATGGTGGCTCATGCCTGTAATCCCAGCTACTCAGGAAGCTGAGGTGGGAATATCACTTGAGCCCAGGAGTTCAAGACTGCAGCAAGCTATGATTGTGCCACTGCACTCCAGCTTGTGTGACAGAGTGAGACCTCCATCTTTAAAAATAATGAAAATAAAGAAATAAAAAATAAAAAGCTTCTGCATAGCAAAGGAAACGATTAGCAGAGTGAAGAGACAAACTGTTGAATGGGACAAATATTTGCCAACTATTTATCTGACAAGGGACTAATATCCAAAATATACAAGGAACTCAAACAACTCAGCAAAGAAGAAGAAGAAGAAGAAGAAGAAGAAGAAGAAGAAGAAGAAGAAGAAGAAGAAGAAGAAGAAAGGAGAGGAGAGAAGGAGGAGGAGGAGGAGGAGAGAGGAGGAGGAGGAGGAAGGAGGAGAGGAGGGGAAGGAGAGAGGAGAGGAGAGGGAGGAGGAGGAGGAGGAGGAGGAAAGAGAGGAAGAGGAAGAAGAAGAAGAACGAGGAAGAGGAGGAGGAGGAGAAGGAGAAGAAGAAGAAGAAGAAAGGCAAAGGACATGAATAGGCACCATTTCTCAAAAGAAGATATACAAATGGTCAACAGGTATAAGAAAAAAATCCTCAAAATCACTAATTATCAGGGAAATGCAAATCAAAAGCAAAATGAGATATCTCCTTATACCAGTAAAATGGTTATTACTAAAAAGAGGAAAAAATAACAAATGCTGGTGAGGATGCTGAGAAAAGGAAACCCTTAAACTTCATTTGTTGGAATGTAAATTAATACATCCATTTTGGAAAACAGTATGGAGGTTTCTCAAAAATCTAAAAATAGAATGATCATATATGATCCAGCAATCACACTGCTGAATATCTCTCTAAAGGAAAGGAACTCAGTATATAAAAGGGATAACTGCACCCCTATGTTTATTGCAGCACTATTCACAATAGCCAAGGTATGGAATCAACTGAAGTATCCATTGACAGTTGGATGGATAAAGAAAATGTTGTATATATACACAATGGATTATTACTAAATTGTAAAAAAGAACAAAATCCTGTCATTTGCAGCAACACAGATGAACCTAGAGGTCATCATATTAAGGGAAATAAGCCAGGCACAGACAGATAAATATCATATGTTCTCACTCATTATGTAGGAGTTAAAAAATGATCAAATAGAGGTAGAGAGTAGAATGATGGTTATCAGAGGATAGGGAGGGTATGAGAGGGTATGAGAGGGTTATTGGGTACAAACCTACAGTTAGATAGAAAGAATAAGTTCTAGTGTTTGAATATATAGTAGGATGACTATGGCTAACAACAATTTATTGTGTATTTCAAAACAGCTAGAAGAGAATATTTGAAATGTTTCCAAAACAAAGATATGATAAATGTTTGAGGTGATGGATACCCTAAATATCCTAATTTGATCATTACACATTGTATGTATGTATCATAATATCATGTGTATCCCCAAAATATGTACAATTACCAGTAAATATGATAGAGTCAAACTTAGAAAAATGTTCATATTAATCTCAAAGTCCTGGCTTTATTCTACAGAAAGAAAAGAAACACTCAAAGTCTTTTAGATGCAGTGTAACAGTAACAAAAACATAGTTCTTAATCATCAGCCTGGAAAAGTTATCATAAAAATATAAATATTACATGTTACAATTCTGATAGATAAATCCAAAAAACCTTTATATTTAATAAGAATAGTTATTAAAACTTTTATATTATTCACCAGTGCTCCCATGTTCTCCCAACCTACAATAGATTATTGACATTTTAGCATTTACTTCAAGATTATATTTTGAAATTAAAACATGTAGTTTATACATAATAAAATAAAAGTTTCGATCATCTTTCACAATGATCTCTAGTTCTATTCTGTGTCCCTTCTTTGAGATAGTCACTATAATTTTAATGGTTTGTATCCTTTTAATTCCATGAAAAGTACTCCTACATACACACATATATATATATATATATACACACATGAAAAATAAACTTTGTGTTTTAAAATTTAAACAAATAATATTTATTGTACAAATTATTTGGTAACTTGCTTTTTTCACTTAATATTAGGTTTTGACAATCTACCAAGGTTGATATTTATACACTTAATTTCCATATAGCTTTTCTACCAACCTAACCATTTCCTTCTGCAAAATACAAACAATAAATAAATCACTAAAAGTTCACAAGCAACTTTTGCCAGACATCCAAAGAACAAATGATAGCTCTATATTCTACAGACTATTTTAGACTAGAAAGAGAGACAAAGCCAAGTACCTCACTTTTCTTAGGTTAGTATAATTTTGATACCCAAACCAAGCACAGATAACAGAGGAAAATATAATCATATTTTATCAAACACAGATGCAATAATCTAAATAAAACAAAGCAAATAAAATCCAGTAGGGCATTTGAAAAGTATATCCTAAGAATATGAGGATGGCTCAACTCTGAAAAACTGTAATGTAATCTGCCACATTCACAGATTAAAAGGTGAAAGTAGCTTCTGCTTCCACCACAGTGAACTCATTCCTCTCCATTTTGAATCATGGAGATTTCCTCAGGTTTTTGAGTATAGTGATATCTATATCTAATCAATGTCTATATCCATATCCCCATCCATCCATATACACTTATGAATTTTTAATAAACTAACCTGAAAAAATATAGCTATACAAATATTTAAAATTATACTTCATAACAAAGTATTACACTAACATCTGTTCCATTAAAGTCAGGGGGGAAGATTAGAAACCCCTAACATTCTGGAATAATATCCATATACCAATAACAATTTCCTATACCAACAATAACCCATTTAATAACATATTGGAAAAAAATCTCATTGACTTTAGTAAAGAAAATTTAAGATACCTAGGAACAAATTTAACAGAGAATATATAGGACTTACATGAGGAAAACCACACAAATTTCCTGACAATCCTAAAATAAGGCCCTTCTTGCAGTTTATTCTCTTACACAGAAATAAACACCAGACGGATTAAAGAACTGAATTTTTAAAAGCCATAAGAATTTTTTTTTGTTTTTTGTTTGTTTGTTTTTTTATTTCGGCATGTTATGGGGGTACAGATTTTATTTTTTAAAGCATAAATTGCTCTTAAAAATAAAAAACAAAAGGTCAAAAACTGGCCAAAGTTCATAAACAATCAATTCACAATAGAAACACAAAGGTAACAAAACCCAAAACAACCAACTTCATTAATGAAAGATATGCAATTTATAAAAATTTTGCCTATAAAGTTTGTAAAATTTTAAAAATATAACAATGTTTAACATTGGCAAGGGAATGGATAAGCGATTGATCACAAACTATTGTTACAAATATGCCAGCTTTCTAGAAAACAATTTGGCAATACATATCAAAACACAGTGTCACATTTCCTTTCCCAAGTGGTTCCAATTCTGGATATTTATCTTAAGAAAATAATCATGGATAAGCACAATTTTATATCCAAATATATTCACAGCAACTTTGTATAAAATAGTGAATAATGAAAACTAACAAGTGTCCAAGAAAAGGGCTATTACATTAGTTTATATATGAAACATATATTTTGAAAGATGTATAATATTTATTGATGGAAATTTCATAATACATTTAATAAACTAGAAAAATATAATTTCATATGATTTTTCTTAAAAAAAAGAAAAGTGAAAGTGACAACTAAAAAGTGAGATATACATGATTTATCTATAAATGATAGAATTACAACATTAATCCCTTTATACTATTTACCTACTTTTAAAATTTTCTAAAATGACTATCTTAGTCATGAGAAACAACAAAAGTTATTTTGAAATTTAAAAAATAACATGAAATGAGGTGACTGAACTAGTGGTGACATTTAAAATCTATAAAGATAAAACATTAAATCTATAAAGATAAAACTATAAAGTTTTATCATTATATAATTTTAGAATGTATTTTTAAAGGACTAAGTATTAAAAAGTAATTCAAAAGCTTATTACAATTTTAATCAGAATCTCAAAGAGATTTCTAAAAAATTGACAAAACAATTATTAGTTATCAAAAAGACTTGTTAACTTTTTTCTGAAGGAAGAAGACTATAACAGTATCTGTACTGGTACATATGAGATGTTATTAGGTTATTAAATATGAAATGTCTGATTTCCTAACATACTAAGTTGGATAGTTGACATCTCTGACATTTCACTTTGACACTCCTTATTTTATTTTTATTGTGAAGGTACATCCTCAGTCTTGCAAATGCATGTTTTTGCTTGTGATTATCTGTCAGTTTTTTTAGAGCAATTTTTGTGAAATCATGGACGAGTAAAAATTTCATGTTATTTTAGAATAAGAGTTCCATCCTGGAACAAATGTAGTGCAGACAGCTCAAAATATCAATGAAGTGTTTGGAAAAGATGTGGCTAATGAATGCACAGAACATCAATGGTTTGAGAAGTTCCATTATGGTGATTTTAATCTTGAAAATGAGCCACTCGGGTAGACCTGACACTAAGGTGGATAATGATGAGCTGAAAGCTGTAGTGGAAGCAAATCCATCTCAAGCTAAGAATGAATTAGCAGCAAGGTTTGACGCTACTAGTCCAACAATTTTGGACCATTTGAAACAAATAAGAAAGGTAAAGAAGATGGATATATGGGTTCCACATGAATTAATATGAACATCAGAAGAGAAACCATCTTGAAGCTTGCCTTTTCTTTGCTGTCATGACATAAAGGTGAACCATTTCTACACTGTATTGTTACATATGATGAAAAATGGCTTCTTTTTTGACACTCACAAGCATTGAGCACAATGGTTGGATAAAGATGAAGTGCTGAAACACAGTCCAAAACCAAATATTCATTAAAAAAAAAAAAAAGGTAAAGGTTTCTGGTGGTCCAGCGCTGATATTATCCGCTACAGCTTCAAGAAACCTGGTCAACTGATGACAGTGGATGTGTACTGCACCCAGTTGGATGAAATGATAAAGATGCTTGTGATTAAGCAGCCAAGATTGGTCTGTAGAGATAGGCCAATCCTCTTGCAAGACAATGCTCAACCACATGTCACACAAACAACGCTGCTCAAACTACAGAGGCTGGACTTGGAAACTTTGTCATCCACCATATTCACCAGACCTTGCACCAACTGACTACCACTTCTTCCAAGGAAAAATATTCTATCCTCAACGAGCTGTAGAAAATGCATTTGGTGATTTCATCAGCACTTGCTCTCCATGCTTCTTCACTGCTGGCATAAACAAGCTACCTTTAAGATGGCAAAATTTTGTCAATAGTTTAAGTGCATACTTTGATTAATTGTACTGCTTCACATTTGAGATATAATAAGCTACACCTTTGATTTGAAATCAAAGATTTCATATTTAATGAACTTAATATAAATTATTAAATAACCAAAGGATAGAATATGTATACATTAAGTCTTCAAATAACATAGTGATGTGAAGACACAGCACTATAATATAGAGCATGAAAAGATGAGTCCAGCTATTTTAAAAACAGATAGATGATAGATGACAAAAACCTAAAAGATTTTTAAAAATGTTATCAGTACATATTTGTTGTATTTATATTTTCTGTGAAAACATAATTTTTTAAGGATGACAAAAACATAAATACCAGCTGGGCATGGTGGCTCATGCCTGGAATCCCAGCAATTGGGTAGGTGGAAGTAGGAGGATAGCTTGAGCCCAGGAGTTGGAGGCTACAATAGCTATGATGATGCCTGCACTCCTGCCTAGGCAACAGAGTAAGACCTTGTCTCAACAAAACAAACAAAACATAAATACTATACCATTATCTTTTTTTTTGTATGCTCCTTCTTTAGAAATGTACTGTATTTTTCCAATTTTCCGTAGGAACCTTTAAAAAAATAAGAATTTACTACTTATACATATCCTCTAAAAATAAAGAAAATTGTAAATACCTTAAAGAAATTATATTGGTAACTATTCTGTGAGATCAACTAGCTATTTTAGTGACTATATGCTAAATACATACTCTTAATTCAATGAATAACTGGAACTATTATATACAATATATTTTCTGCTTCCTGTTTTTTTTCTAAACTCTCATGTTCCAACTAACATGTCTATGGCACCTACTTCTAAATCTAAGGATTTACCTCAATCTCTCCCTAATGAACAAGTCTATATTTTTCAAATAGCTCAGCCATTTACATTTGGTTATTTTATGGTTACCTTAAATTCAATAAAGTACGTACTGTGGAGTATGGCCCATTGAAAGATTATGGGGAGCTCTGAAGTCAGATAACCTATATTTTGATCCAAGTTCTAGTATTTACATATTGAGGACAATGAATATATATAAAATTATGTTTTTAAACAGGGGGAAGGTATGAAGGCATATGTGCATTCATTGCTCTGTTTACTTGTAAATATTTTATTTCTTTATGAAAACAATTCATGTACATGTCTGTGTATATATATATGTACACCTCTATGTACATATCTATACATACACAAGCTATATATATAGCTTACATAAATTCAAAAAATACATAAAATTTAAAAAATTTTAAATATCAACAAGAAAATTTAAAATAGTAAATTTAATAGCATTGTATTAAGTAGTATATTTAAACACATTCTCAGAATTAGACAAATATAAATCCAAAAAAGGATTTTAAATATCTAAATAACATAACTAATCAAATTTTTTTAATATATAAAAATACTTTATAAGTACAACCAATACCATCTTTTTCAACACTTACGTATGATGTTTATCCATTAAATCAAGAATAGAACAAGAATAACGGTTAGTATTTAAAACTATTCTGGAAATGTTAATATCGGATAAGAAAAAAGTTATAAAAATACTGAAAAGAAGTAAATATTATTCTCTCTTGCAGATATGCTTTTCATTCAGTTATTCCATACTGCATATTAAATACTCCTACAAGCTAACGTAGCCCACATAGATCAACTCTCACCCATTTTATTTAGGTTTGAGGTATTTGTATTCTCCTATTCTGACCCTTGCTGATTTGCTTGTTTCTAGTAACAATATCAGTTGATGCAATCTTGTTTTCCTGTTTCCCTGATATTCTACTACCTCCACTCCAGTTTAAGTGAGTTGAACAGTTTGACAACTGTTTTATGTTTTGTCCTAGTAACAATTTCTCTAAAACATGTTTATGTTCAACTAAAAATCTGTATTGAACCATTTTGAAATGAAGAGGTCTTTAAAATAATTTTATTTTAAAACATTTTATACCTTAGGATTTCATTCTTTATGAAAAATGCACATGCACATAGACACACACAAAACTGATCATGACTTTACTCATATGAAAAATAAGGTTTACCTGGTTTGGAAACCATGCTTGTCCACTCAAATATTTTAGAAGCATGGATTTTTAAAAGAGATGCACATTCATCTAATCTTGATTCCATGTTGACGATTGATTCAAATGTTCGAGGGACATTTTCCCATAGATGTGTATAAATTATAATAAATGAACTATCTTCTTTTATTTTGTTCAGATTATGTGACCACTTATCATCATCTGTAATACATACATCCCTTGGCCAATGATCCTGCAAAATATGTGGAAGAGACAATACAACTTAAGCCATTTTTAATGAATGTAAATGATAGAGTTCAAAACCAATGAGCTAAAATTTGAGATTATATTCCATAGCACTATCTTTCTTTAACATTTAAAAAATTTGAAATAATCATAAACCTTACAAAAACTGCTTTTCTAAATCATTTGAGAATAAGATGCTTATGTGATAGTCCATCATCTTTTAAAACTTCAGTGTACATTTATGAAAAACAAGAACATTCTTCTAAATAATCACAATGTAATCACTGGAGTCAGGAAACTGGCATTGATACATTGTTTCTATCTAATCCCCAGACTCTAGTCAAGTTTCAATTGAAGCAATAATGCCCTTTATAGCAAAAGAATATAATTCAGAATTAAATATTATGTTTAGCCCTCATGGCTCTTTGGTCCCTTTCAGTCTACAACAGTTCTTTAGTATTCTGGGGGAGGATAGGAGGATTAGAAGGCAGAGTTTTTATTTATGTTTAATTTTTTCTAGCTTAACTATGGTATAATTGAAAAATAAAAATTATGTGTATTTATGGTATAAAATATGGTTTGATAAGTGTATACATTGTGAAATGATTGCCAAAATAAAACTAATTAAGATATCCATTACCTGACATAGGTTTTGTTTTGTGGTGAGAACATGTAAGATATACTCTCTTGGCAATTTTCAAGTATACAACACATTATTAACTATAATCACCAGGCTGACCAATAACTCTCCAGAATTTATTCATCATGTCTAATAAACTTTGGACTTTTTAACCCATTTCTCTCCCTTCCCCAACAATCCCCTACCAGCTAGCCTATCAGATTTCCCAAAGAACTAAAAGGAGACCAATCATTCAATTCAGCAATCCCAGTACTGAGGATCTATCCAAAGGAAAGGAAGTCATGACATTAAAAAGACACCTTCACTCGTATGTTCATCACATCACAATTACAATTGTGAAGATAAAGGATCAGCTTAAGTGCCTATTAACTAATGAGTGGAGATAGAAAATGTGGTGTTTGTATGTGTGTGTATAAACCATGCAGTACTACTGAACCATAAAAAGGAATAGAATAACGTCTTTTGCGGCAACTCAGCTGGAGGTGGAGACCATTATCCTAAGTGAAGTATCTCAGGAATAGAAAAACAAATATTAATACCACATGTTCTCACTTATAAGAATGGAAGGCTATGAGTTCCATTTTCATAGATTCCACCTATAAGTGAGATCATCCAGTAACTGTCTCTCTTTTTTAAAAATTATTAATTTTTCAATAGATTTAGGGGGTACAAGTGTTTCTTGTTATATGGATGAATTGTATAGTGATGAAGTCAGGGGTCTTAGTGTGTCCATCACCAGAATAGTGTACATTGTACACAATAGGTGATTTTTAATCCCTCATCCCCTGCTGTCCCCCTGTTTTCTTAATTTCCAATGTCCATTATACCACTTTATACACTTTATACACTCATAGTTTAGCTCCCAGTTATAAGTGAGAACATATGGTATTAATATTTGTTTTTCTATTCCTGAGATACTTCACTTAGAATAATGGTCTCCACCTCCAGCTGAGTTGCCGCAAAAGACGTTATTCCATTTCTTTTTATGGTTCAGTAGTATTGCATGGTTTATGCACACACATACACACACACACAAACACCACATTTTCTATCTCCACTCATTAGTTAATAGGCACTTAAGCTGATCCTTTATCTTCACAATTGTAATTGTGATGTGATGAACATACAAGTGAAGGTGTCTTTTTAATGTCATGACTTCCTTTCCTTTGGATAGATAGTGAGGATTCGGACTGCTGAATTGAATGATTGGTCTCCTTTTAGTTCTTTGGGAAATCTCCATAATATTTTCCATAGAGGTTGTACTAATTTATATTCCCACCAACAGTGTATAAGCATTCAATTTTCACCATTTCCATGCAAACATCCATTGCTTTTTGACTTACTTATCATAATGGCCATTCTGACAGGGATAACGTGGTATCTTATTGTGGTTTTAATTTACATTCCCATGACAATTAGAGATGTTGGGCATTTTTCAATATGTTTGTTGGGCATTTGTACATTTTCTTCTGAAAAAAATCTGTTCATGTCTTTTGCCCACTGTTGATGGGTTATTTTATTTTTTTCTTACTGATTTGTTTAAGTTCTTTGCAGATTCGGATATTATTTCTTTGTCAGATGTAGTTTGTGAATATGTTCTCCCATTCTGTAGGCTTTCTGTCATTCTGTTGATTACTTCCTTTCCTGTGGCGAAGCCTTTTAATTTAATTAAGCACCATTTATTTAGTTTTGTTGTTGCTGTATTTATATTTGGGGACTTAGTCATAAATTATTTGCTTAGGCTAATGTCTAGAGGTTTTTCCTGTTTTATTCTATAATTATTGTGGTTTCAGGTCTTATGTTTAAGTCTTTTATTCATGTTGAGTTAATTTTTGCATATGGTAAGAGATAGAGATCCAGTTTCATTCTCCTGCATGTGGCTATCCAGTTTTCCCAGCACTGTGTATTGAATAGGACATTCCTTCTCCAGTATATGTTTTTGTCTGCTTTGTTAAAAATCCATTGTTTGTAGATATATGTCTTTACTTCTGGATTCTCTATTCTGTTCCTTTGCTCTGTGTGTTTACCTTTATAACAGTACTATGCTGTTTTGGTTACCAGAGCCTTGTAGTATAATTTGAAGCCTAATAGTGTTATTATGCCTTTATTTGTTCCTTTTGCTTAGGATTGCTTTGGCTATTTGGGCTATTTTGGGTTCTATAATAAGTTTAAGATCATTTTTTCTCATTCTGTGAAAAATGACCTTGGTATTTTGATGGAAATTTCAATGAATCTATAAATCACTGTGAACAGTATGGACATTTTAATAATATTCAGTATTCTAATCCATAAGCATGGGACACTTTTATATTGCTTGTGATATCTATGATTTCTTTCATCAGTGTTTTGTAGCTCTCCGTTTAGAGATCTTTTATGTCAGTTAAATTTATTCCTAGACATTTTATTTTCTTTGCAGTTATCGTAAATGCTACTGAGTTCTTGATTTGACTCTCAGCTTCACTGCTCTTAATGTATAGAAGTGATACTGATTTGTATACATTAATTTTATAACCTTAAACTTTATTGAATTTATCAATTCTAGGAGTCTTTTGGAAGTGTCTTTAGGGTTTTCCAGATATAAGACCATATCATCAACAAATAGGAATAGTTTTACCTCCTTTATTCTGATTTGGATGCCGTTTATTTCTTTCTCTTGCCTGATTGCTCTAGCTAGGACTTCCAATACTATGTTGAAAAGACGTGGTGACAGTGGGCACCCTTGTCTTTTTCCGCTTCTTCAGAAGAATGCTTTAAACTTTTCTCCATTCAGTATGATGTTGGCTGTGGGTTTGTCATATATGGATTTTATTATTTTGAGGTATGTTCCTTCTACGTCTACTTTGTTGAGGGTTTTTATCATGGAGGCAGCATGTATTTTATCAAATGCTCTTTTTTGCATTTATTGAGAAGATAACATGGTTTTTGTTTTATTTCTGTTTATGTGGTGAATAACATTTATTGATTTGCATATGTTGAACCATTCTTGCATTCCTGGGATAAAACCCACTTGATCATGGTGAATTATATTTTTGATGTGCTATTTGATTTATTTAGCTAGTATTTTGCATCTATGTTCAAGATGGATATTGGCCGGTAGTTTTCTTTTTTTATTGTGTCCTCTCCTGGTTTTGGTATCAGGGTGATACAGGCTTCATAGAATGAATAAGGGAGGATTCTCTCCTCGATGTTATGGAAAGGTTTCAATAAGATTGGTGCCAGTTATTCTTTGTAAGTCTGGTAGAATTCAGTTGTGAAACCATCTAGTCCTGGGCTTTGTTTTTGTTGGAATGTTTCTTATTACTCTTTCACTCTTGCTGCTTATTGTTGGTCTGTTCAGGATTTCTATTTATTCCTTATTCAAATTTGGGAGGTTGTGTGTTTCCAAATATTTATCCATTTCTTCTAACTTTTCTAGTTTGCGTGCATAGAGGTTTTCATATAGTCTTTAATGGTATTTTATATTTCTGTGGTATCAATTGTAATTGCTAGCTTTGGGTTTGTTTTGTTCTTGTTTTTCTAGTTCCTTGAGGTGTGCCATTTGGTTATTACTTTTTGTTCATTCTGCCCTTTTGATGTAGGCATTTAATGAACTTCTCTCTTAGCATTGCTTTTTATTTATTGCAGAGATTTTAGTAGCTTGTGTTGCTTTTGCCATTCAATTAAAAACATTTTTAATTTCCAATTTGATTTTGTCATTGACCCAAGGATATTCAGCAACGGGTTTTTCATTTTCATGTATCTGTGTAGCTTTACCATCCTACCTAAATGGGATGCTTTAGTCCTGGGCAGACCAGACCACGACCAAGCTGGCAAACTTGCTCTTAATCCTCCCTGGGTCTAGGTACTGGCTGTGATAGTGAGAGGTGGGGTGCTCTCCTGCTCCAGAAGAATGCTCAAGCAGGAGACTGTGAGTCTGAGACAGGAAGGTCAGGCCCCTCTTGATAAGATCAGCAGAGTTGGGCAGCTGTGGGACACACAATTCACTTATATCTCCCCATCTCTTGGCAATGGCAGCAGTCTCTGTCCTTTGGAGGCAAAAAAGTGCCCAGATTCCCAGTTCCCAACCTGGTCCAGCTGCAACACAGGTGGTGGAGGCAGCTCAACCACTGTATGTAGGTTACTAGATTGGTTATGCACCATGGCTGAAGTGCTTCAGCAATGGAGGTATGGTTGTGTCATGGACTTTCCTCCAGGGATGGTGGAGGCAAGTCCAAAAAGAGATAGGCAGCTTGCAGTTCAGGGATAGCCCTTCTCTTCCTCAGTGGAGGCAATAGCTTTTGTCCCTGAGACATAAGAAAGCACCCACAACTTCTTTTTTGTGGGAAAGGAGTGATCTTCAAGCTCCATGGAAGCCTAGAAGTAAAAGA